CTGGTGGGCTGCTGAAGGGCACCGGCGTGGAGCTGCCCTGGGGGGGCCCAGCCGCCGGGGTGGGAGTGGCAGTGCTGGGCCACAGCACGGGGCGGCTGCTGGTGGGGAGCAGCGCGGGTGGCAGCGTGGCGGTGCGCGGTGTGGTGGGGGGCGTGGTGGTGGTGGTGGTGGGGCAGCCAAAGTCGGCATACTGCAGGTGGTGAAGGAGCTTGCCAGAGTTTTTTGGGGGGAAGTGGCAGCGCGTCTCCTCAGGCCGCCGGAGGACAACGCTGCTGGCATTCACCCACTGCACCAGCCAGCTCATCTGGCAGATGCAGTTGAAGGGGTTGCCAGCGGCCGTCACAGCCCGCAGCCTGGGGAAAAAGCCGGAGAAATCCCGAGGGATGGTGTTGATGTTGAGGTTGCTGATGTCAAGCTCCTGAAGGTTGTGAAGGTTGTGGAAGTCCTCGGCTGGCAGCTGGGAGATGCGGGCGTTGCCAGCCAGGCTGAGCTTAGTGAGGCTCCCAAGCCGGCGCAGCACTGCTGGGACACGCTCCAGCAGGTTGTCAGAGATGTCCAGCTCGTGGAGGTTGTTCTGGGCCTGGAAGAGCTCCTCATTTAAGCTTGTCAAGCCCAGCCCCGCGATCTTCAGGGACTCGATATTGACAGCGTGGAAGGCCCCTGGTGCAATGGTGGGGATCTTGTTCCAGCTGATGTCCAGCAGCAGAAGGTTGGGCAGGTCAAGGGGGGGAACGGCCCAGAGCTGGTTGTTCTGCAGCTTCAGCTCCAGCAGGTTCTCCAGCGTGTCAAAGGCAGCAGCGTGGATGTGCTGGATCCTGTTCCTCTGCAGGTAGAGCCGCTCCAGCAGCCTCAGCCCATGGAATGTCTCATTGGTGATCTCCTGCAGCTGGTTGGAGGACAGGTCCAAGTTGACGAGCTCCGTCAGGGGCTGGAAGATGTTTTTCTGGATGCTGGTGATCTTGTTTTGTGAGAGGTCCAAGAGCTGGAGGGCGGGCAGGCCGGCAAAGCTGTCCTCACTGAGCATCGTGATGCCATTCTCAAAGACGTATAGGGAGAGGGTGTTGGGGGGCAGCCCCTGGGGAACGGTCTGGCCCCGTCTGGCTGCGCACAGGATGGTCTTGGGGTCTTGGCACTGGCAGCCCGCAGGACATGCCCCAGCCAGCTCCCCGAGGGCCAAGAGGAGCAGCATGCAAAGGACCAGCTGGTTCATGGTGTCAGCTCTGCGAGAGAGAGAAACCCAGGCAAGGTCACCGCTGGGGTGTGAGAGCCGTCTCCCTGTGCCCTGCCCGGGACCCTCCGGCCCCAAAGGGACCACGGAGGGAGTGGGAAGGTCCCCACCGCACTCCTGCAGCCTGGGACAGAGCCAGTGAGAGCGCAGCCACACGTGGGCTGCCAGCTCTGTGCTCTCCCCCTCCTTGGACCCCGCAGATTTAGGGACATGGTACCTTTATGCACCTCAGGCTCTACCGTGAGACAGGGCCCACCGCCATGAGCCTGGCCTCTTGGTACCGTCTCCAGGGGGGCACTGGGACACCCTGGTACATGGCAGGGCAAGGGCCCCTACCTCCCTGGCTGCTCTCTGCAGGGTGCAAATCAAACACGGGGGCTGCAGAGCAGAGGCACCTCACGGGGTGGGAGCCTGGCTGGCCTTCCCCACACGCTAAGCTCAGTTTAACCCTTTGCTTGTGCCACTGTCCCGGCAGCTGCACCCACGAGGTCTGCTCCTGCCTGGATCACAGCAATCCCCCTCAGGCATAGGGGCACCCAGGGGTGGCCCCCACCGTGAGGTGGCCTGGGCACAGGCTGTGGGGCCAAAGGAGCTGGGTGCTCCCCTGCCCTGTGGGTCCCCCCTGTGCCTTTCAGAGCCAGCTGCCTCTCTGCAGAGTCCCGGGGGCTTATAGACACCCCAAGCTGACTCCTGTCTCCTGGGGGCTACAGGTCACCTTGCTGCTCCCCTCCCTGCTGGCACCCAGGGACTCAGCACAGCACCCTGGGCGGCATTCTCATCCCCTGGGGACTGGGGGAAGATGCTCTCGGGGCAAGCGTGGCTGCCTCAGTGCACCCCATGGATGCCCTGGCTGATGTCACAGCTGGCTGTGCCCCACGGCACCGGCTCCTCTCCCAACCCCATCTTTCAGCCCTTTTAATGACAACCCTAATGAGCACAGGCTGAGCTGGGCACCCACTGTCTCTTGCCACCGCATCTCAGGGGCACGTGGGGGTGGCACAGGGGGGTCTGAGGCAGGGAAGAGGCAAATCCCACCAGGCTGCTAGAGATGGGGGTGCTGTGGGCACCCTGTCCCACCAGCCCCTTCCCCCACCCCCTCCCCTGCTCCAGGCTGCTCACAGCTCCAGGCAAACACACACACCCCTGCACCCGCGGCTCGCAAGGGGCCCCCGCACTGTGTGGGGGGCTGACAGGTCGCGCAGCAGCAC